GGAATTTCCTTTTTCTTACTTTGTGCCTTTAATATCTTTTTTTGGCTTGCTATTTCATTCTTCTTTTCTTCATATAGCATTATGTTGCTTATCCTGAAAGGGAATAGCATTAAAATGTATAAATGTGTATTTCTCCTGCAAAGGATTTCTTGAATTCTGGAGAATATTCTGTGTTTTTTATGACTGATGCTGCTAGCCTTGCCCTTCAATCGCCCAGAACAATTTCAGAGTTCAAGGCAAGTGACCCCACTAGTTCTCTCCCCTATCAGGCTTTTCTCCAACCAGCCAATGGAAGAGCTTAAAAATGACAGCCAATTAGTACCTTGCCCTCATGCATTCCTCACTAGCATTTCCTGTGGAATAAAAGGCTAAATTTATATTTAATTGGTTTACTTTCAAATTCCCAAGCCCTCTGGGTACAATACTGCAGGGAGACAGGGGCAGGGAATTGAACTTGGCTTAGCACTGAGTTCACACATGGGAAGGACCTTAATGTTAATATTCTTGGGTAATAAAATGTTGAAGCTGATTAAAGTTCATCATCATCCAGCTGTTGTATTCATGCAACACATGGCAAATATTCTTATTCTCTTATCCAGTCGGGTTATCAGGGGGAAAAAACTGATGGTAATTTTTCAAATGCTATATGATGAATACTGTGGTTCCATATTCTTTAGTGATCTCTCAATGCCCACCCCCACTTTTTAAAAAAACTTCAGGTAAATGGGCAGCCTCTAAATTTGGATATATTTTATTTTTCAGTGACATTCAGGGTAAACAGGGATCTCTTGAGCAATGTTATAAATAATATCCTTTAAAAAGGCAATAAATATCTTACAGCTGTCCCACTATTGCATATACTCCACTAACTATTACGAACTTGGTCGTTGGAATGTCAGAGGTTGCTTTATCCCAAAAGCAGACTAGGGACTAGAGCCCTTGACTTTAACCTGTCTCTTGGTGATTACATGAATTTGTCCACATCATTTTCTTAGCAACAGTGAGAAAGTGAGTCACTTCCCTTAATTTCCATATAACAGATACAACCTATGATCCAAAGCTGTTTTTTTTAGAAATGAACCCAAGACACTGTACATCCAAATTCTGCATAGTGAAAATAACCAATGTATTTTACAATATTATTTTCAAGGATTGGAAGACTATGGTATCTGAACAAAACTGTACTTTTCCCCTTATACATCTTATCCTAAATTATTTTCAGAGGTGGCATGTGCATAATATAAACAATGAAAACGGGTTTTAGAAACCAGATGGCATAGGGAAGACTTATGGTTACAGCTTTTCCTTGGGCTAAACTTCATGGAATATTATTCGGTGATTTAAAAAAAAAAATCAAACTTTTTATGGCTTTTATCCAATGAAACCATAGGATCTATTTTTAAAAAATGATTATATGATTATTCAAATTATATAGCCAAAGCTTTAATTCCTCTGATTTAGGTGAAGCAGTGACTAGTTAGTTAATGATTTATATGGAGAAGTCCTGAGTTCAAAGGTTGAGTGAGAAACACATGTAACTATAAGGTTCTGATTCTCAATAAATTTACTTCTGGAATTGTTGTTATGGTTTGTTGCATAGTCAGCCAGATATTTTAGACTAGATTTGGCATTTTTATCACCTATTAAGTTTTTCCCAAAGACCTGGGATAGGCAGGTGCTGTTGTTCGATGGTGTTAAAGATATTGTTGCAGGATGTAAGGTGTTCTAAGTAAAGCTGCCTTTTCCAATTGACTGATGGTGATCTTGTCAATGCCAATGGTGTTCAAATGGTGGTCCAGTTATTTGGGAATTTATCCAAGGCACCTATTATTTATCCAAGGCACCTACCTTTGCTTTCTTTTGCCACAGTCATTCTGTTTTTATTTGCAGTCTTTGTATTTTTTAATTTTTTCCAGTTCTTTCCCTTCTGTTCTGCTGTCTCCAGGTATTGCGGTACCCGCTATCCAGATATTTTTGTTTTTCTTATCGATAATTGTTAAGTCTGGAGTGTTATGTGGCAGGTATTTGTCTGTTTGAATTCTAAAGTCCCAGAGCACTTTTACTTTGCCTATTTTGTGATCCCACTACTTCTTGGTTGCAGGCAAATAGTGATTTGGGCAGATATTCCAATGCACCATTGTCTCTATTTTGCCATGACATTGTTTGTAGTCAGTCTGTGCAGTCTTCTCGTAGCAGCTAACTAGATGGTCCATTGTTTCTTCAGCTTCTTTGAATAGGCAGCAATTGCAGTCTGTTCTTCTCACTTCTGGCTGTGTTGCAAGTTTGAAGACCTCTGGTCTAGGGTAAGATCTGTCCCCATCCTCCTATCCTTCCACAAGAGCCAAGAGCGTGAAGACCTGGCTCTGCCAATTGGCCTGGGAACTAAACGGGGGGGAGGGGAGGGGGGGAGTTCTACATTGGAGGTGGCTGCTAGATTGATGGCAGACTCCCCCTCCCACTCCCTTGCTCTCTGCTCTCCACCCATCCATCTTTTTGGTTATCATAATAAAAAAGGTAAATTTCTCCTGTTCAGTCATGTCCAAGATAAGGGGGCGTGCTCATCTCATTTCCTAGCCAGGATGACAGCATTGTCCAAAAACATAGTCATGTGGTCGGTATGACTATACACGGAGGCGCACAGAATGCTATCATATTGATATATTTATTCTTGTTGTGTTCCTTTGTTGTTGTTTATTTTATTGTTCTATTATTTTACTTCTGTTTACATGCCTTTCATTTTTTCTCCTTTTTATTATTGTAAGCCATCTAGCCCTATGGTGAGATAGGCAGCAAATAAATTTAAGTCACAAAAAAGAAATTATTATTATAGCAAAGGAACTTAGGAAGCTAATAATTCAGTGAAGAAAGACAAAGTATTATGAAGGTACTGAATGAGTCACATGACTATTAGTTTATCAAACTGCATACAGCATGTGCCTCTGCACCTATTCAAGGGTTAAATATAATTTTACAGAATTGTTGCCATATATGACAACAATGGCTGCTCATGTAATTAAAATTGTTTAGTGATTCACAGTAAATAGAGTGAAAATATCTGAGACAAGAAAGTTTTTCAAAAACTTTGAAAAAAAAAGAAACAAGGCGGCAACTTTTTCTTAACAAAAATCAGAAAAGGAGCCATATCATAGGGGGCGCCAGAATGCAACTTTGCCTAGAGCACAAAACACCTATTATTGGCTTAGTTCCATTCAGTTCATTGTGATTTATCCTTAGGTATGCAGAATTACAGGTTTACCATATCAATAGCTCTGTCATTTGAAATAAATTCTGTGCTTAATCTGTGCTTAATTAAAGCCAAACTGTTTCTTGAAACCACAAGAAGATACTGTGATCCAAAAATCATACAGGATGTGGGAAGAATCTTCTCTGTTGGGATTGTTGCAGAAGTTGCATTAGTAAAATTCAAATAAAAGAAGACCGTTGATGAATATGTGTGTTTGTGTATATGTACATGCACGTGTATGTGTACGTATATGTAAAAAGAAAAATAGAAACCACGGTAGCCCTTAAAGCATTCAATTAAGCATTCAATTAAGCATTCAATGAGACTTCAGTATTTGTACCTCCTCCTATGACCTATTCATATATTTTATCTTTGAAGTTTTAATTGTTTATAATCAAGCCCTTGGAGTAAATGAAAGATGAATACAATACCTTCCTCCCTGACGTGTGTGAAGGGTGGCATAAAAATTTAATAGATAAATAAAGTATTATGTTTTGAGGGTCAGATTTTTTCACTTTTGGGTTAAATCACTTTCTATGTGTTCTTTTTATTCTTCTTTTTGACTATGTATCACCATCACAATTATTTTTGGGTTTTTTTTTCTTTTTTGTTATTAATTTACAATCAAAAATAATATCTTCACCAGTTGCATTCATATATGGCTAATCAACTTCTTGAATTAAGCCATCTGCATGCATTCACAGAATACATGATTAGAGTATGTTGACCCTAATTTTATTTTAGTTTGTTATAGAAATTCAGCCCTTATGGATTTTCAAGTTAAAATTGATAGTGGAATTTGGAAAAGAAGCATTTTTAAAATTAAGTGCAGCTGTTTTCAGTTTATTTGAGATGTTCCCCTTTATTCTGCATTTCATTTCAGTGTTGTCATAAAGAGAAATACATAGATAGTCTGTGGTTCTCTGTTCTTCATTCTGAAATATATTTTATTCCTAATCAGAGAAACCTTTGGAAAGACTGCTAAGATATTCAAAATGTAAGGTGAAATTCACCAGATATCTTAAATTTGTAATGACAAGAATACTTCAAGAACAGAAAACTCCGTTATTTGCGAATAGTTCCTTGACATTGCTGGTAAAGTTCATTAGGTTTCATTTTTTATCAATGCAAAGGGAGCAGCTGACATGATCGTAAACCAATTCAAGGTGCCCAATGTGGGGCTCTCCTCCTTCCGACTCCACAAGCCGATCGCGTATTCTCAACCTGGGTTTCAGGTTGAGTGTTAGACTACAATTCCCAGGCTCGGCAATGAGCAAAAAAACATGGGAACTGCATCCCAATGTTTGGGCTGGGAAAAACGGAGGTAAACAGAGCTAGATTTCTCTACTCCATCTACCTGCTCTGTCGAATTTACGTGCCAAATGGCGAAGCGAAGAACCACCGGCTGCCACGAATGTTTGATTTGCTATTTGCAAAGTTCCAACAACGTTGGTTTTTTTTTTAATGCCATGTACGGATTGCAGCCTTTGGAGCGCAGAAAGGTGCAGCGAGGGGGGGGGGTGCCTCGAGCGTGGCGGGAGGCGTCTTCGTCCCGCCCGTTTTCTCGGCTCTGGCGATGTTCTGGCACAACCCAGCCGGTTCCTTCGAGGTTTTGACAGCGCCGCTTAAACGCGATAGGAGCGCTCCTATTGGGGGCTGCTGCATCCTGGCTTACCAAAGCCCCCGCCTCCGCTTCCCCCCACCGCCCCCACAGCCCTGAATGGAAAGATATACAAGGAAACTGGCAGTTGCCCTCGCAGAAGCTGCGCGCGAGGTTGCCTCTCACCCTCCACGCTCCCCCCCCCCGCACCCGAGTCCACTCTCCCGCCTTTTGTCAGTTGCTCGCGCGCTCCCTCAGAACGGTGGCTGCTCCCTCGAGCCTCCCTCGTGCGCGCTGGAGGCGACTTTTCAGTTCGGACTCCGCGCCGACGCCTAGCCCAGCCCCGAAGAGGAAAGTCGTCGCAAAAGCGGAACGAAAAAAAAACCGGTTGGGGCTGCCCGGGCTTCGCCGAACCAGGAGGGCACGCCAGCTCTCTTTCGGAGACCGTTTGGGAGCGAAACAACCACCACCCGCCCGACGTCTCTTTCGCTTCCCTTCGCCATGGGGCTCCCCCTGCTGCTGGGTCTGCTGCTTTCCGGTAAATTTGGGGCTGCGGGAGTGTCGTCCCCTTCACCGCAGGGTTAATATCCCTATTGAAGGGAAGAGAGGTTTATTATTATTATTATTAATTCCTGAGGGCTAAAGGCTGCGCTGCGCGGGCTGTCGACGTCTCATAAGACCGGGGAATTCTGCCTGTTGCTCCCCAAAGCTCTCTTTAACCTTCCTCTCTTTTTAGGGCAATGGTTTAATTGTGTGTCCCGCCGCGGCTTTTTCTTCCTATATATCAGATATGATCAGTCAGTCTTTTGCTTTTTAAATATCTATCTATCTATCATCTATCTATCTATCTATCTATCTATCTATCTATCTATCTATCTATCTATCTATCTATCTATCTATCTATCTCTACCTACCTACCTACCTACCTACCTACCTACCTACCTATATCTAAATGCTTTCTTGGCTTTCTCGCTCCCCTTTCCATAAGGGGGCTTTTGTTGCAATTCCGGGTGCAACTTGTTGGTTGTTAAGATAACTCTCCCTCTCCGAGGTTTCTTTACGCCCCCAGCACGCTTAGGATCGGGCCCTGAGGCGTCTCTTTTTCGAGGCTCGTCCAGATTTCTAGTCTGCGTGCGGGCTCTGTAGTTCAGGTTTGCGGCTGAGGAGGACGTTTGATTTTCTGTGATTTGCTGGTCACTTGGGATGTGTTCGGGTCAGGCGGGTCCCTGGTTCACTTTATGGATGATGGGTGCTGTGCGGGAAAAGGAGAAGGTGTTGGAGTATAAAAAGGGGACATTAGGACAGGGACGGTAGGCACGTTGGTGGGCTTATGCACGCCCCTTACAGACCTCTTAGGAATGGGGTGAGGTCAACAGTAGACAGTCTAAGGTTAAAGTTTTGGGGCTTTGGGGTTGTCGAAGTGGAAATAGAAAATATGGCACTCACAGTTTTTTGTTGTCAGTGGCAGGCTGAGCACTGCTCCAGTGCATAAACTTTTGTCAGGTGCCTGCCAAGATTTTTGCTGGCTAGGAAAGAGCAAAGATTTCCCCTCCCCCTCCCCCAGCGAAAGATCTGTTTACCTGCATGTTATAGAAGCACTTTACAACAGGCAACTCATTCACTTAAGTAATATGAAGAGAATTGTCCTAAGTAATGTTAAATTAGATATCCGTATTTCCAGAAGAGGGGATTTGAATCAAAGGGTTTTCATTCTTGAGGCTTTTAATTTTGGTTTTCGTTTACCTTTTGCCTCTAATCTTCAACAACAACTGTACAGTTTTAAAAGATTTCCTGTGATTTCATGCTGGTCAAGGCAGTTTTACTGAACTGCCCTGAAGAAAAAAATCTCGCTAGCGCACCAGTTGAGAACCTTTAACTACCAGATGTTGAACTGACTATACCGTATACTGATTTTGACTTTGGGGAGTTGCAATTCAGCAATGCCTGGAACCCAGGGATTTCTCATCCTAGGTTACCATTTGAGAAGATCCTTTCATCTAATCTAATATAAACAGTTCTTAGATAACTTAGTTCATACTAGGAAAGAGAGACTGGTCAATTTAAAAATAACCCATCTATTTAATTTGCTAATAACCCAGGGACATAAATCACACAATTAATTCAGATATCCTGAACAAGATCTGTAGGGTTCCTATATTTGACAAGATGCAAAAGACAAGTTGATTATATCCAGTTTGGGGCAGTTGCAACTGGGTTCCAAGAAGCAAACTTTTTCCATTCTTCCCCTCCAGCCTTTTCCTCTCAAATGCTAAATTTAGAATTGGAGATACAGCTTTATAGCAAAGGTTGTTGTTAATTGCATTTATATTCCATCATTCCTGCTGAAGCAAAAGATGCTAAACAAAATTTTCTCAACTCCCTTTTACTTTCACAACAATTTTGTGTGGCAGCCTATTGTAGTCACTTCTTATTTATTTAAACATAATTCATGAATAAGCTACAAGAAGGATGTTACACTAAGGCCATAATGACTGAATTTACTTATTGTACTATGTCTGAAACAGACCAATTGGATAATGACTGAGCAAAAGGTGTGAACCACTGAATGACCAGCCCCAAGTCAACTTCTTGACTGAATGGGAATCTGAATTTCATTCTCCCAATATTGCTAGGATGCTCTAACTAGATGTTTAAAATTACTTGAACTGAAGAATATGTAGTTCTTCAGCTCTTGATGAAGAACTACATATTTGGAAGAGTTTCCTGCTTCTATGGTGGCTAACCGGTTGGGAACAAATAGGATCAGAGGCAATCTTATTCCTCCAGCAACTGTTTAAAAGGGTGTTGTCTCTGTTTATGCAGATACTACCTATATATTGTATAACAATCAAGATGAATACACCACATTGTAATAATAATTAAAAAAAAAAGAATTAATGGCAAAATGCATTGTAGCCTCTTCCCGGAGTTCTGCCATTGATTTTGGCTGGGTTCTCACCTCATACTAAGTCAAACCCCAAAAACAATATGATGGTATACCATGCAGTTTGAACCTAATATTTATGTACAAAACAGCTTGATTTAACATTAAGTCTGCTAACATTTTTCTGTGCTGAACTCATGGAGGAAATCACAGTTATGACTTTTCTAGTTGCTTCTGGCAGAGTATTAAAATGGTATATAACTACGATGGCGAACCTATGGCACGCATGCCAGAAGTGGCACACAGAGCCATCTCTCTGGGCACACGAGCCATCGCCCGTTGCTCTTCCAGGTTCCAGCGCGCTGGCCAGTTGGTCTTCACGTGTGCGAGAGCATCAGAAACCGGAAGAGCAGCCGCCCGGTGTGCATGCGCGCTCCGGGCAGCTGCTCTTCTGGTTTCTGGCATGCACACCGGCCAGCTGGTCTTCACACGTACATGTGTGCCAGAAAGACCAGGTGGCTGGTGCACGCAAATGCACACTCCCATTTTGGCACTCTGTGCCGAAAAGGTTCGCCAACACTGGTATATAATCATATGTGTGTGTGTGTGTGTGTGTGTGTGTGTGTGTGTATAACTTTTATATGTTGTACATATAGTGAGAAACAATTAAAAAGGTAAAGGTTTCCCCTTTACCTTTTTCAGACTCTAAGGGGTGGTGCTCATCTCCATTTCTTAGCGTAGGGGAATCAGCATTGTCTGAAGACCTTTCCATGATCATATGGTTGGCAATGGCAGGACTATATGCTGAAGCACATGGAAAGTTATTATCTTCCCACTGAAGTAGTATCTATTTATCTACTTGCATTTGCAAAAAAATTATTCTCTCCTTATAAACTTTGACATTTCTCTTATGTCTCAAGTGCTTATGTTACTTTTTATTTGTTGTTAGTCATCCCAGGCCAGACTCATTACATATGATGAATTAAAGGTATACAGGCTGGTGAAATAGGTTGTAGGTATCATTGCTCAATGAAGAAAGTCTATATGAAAAAATACACTGTCCTATGTTATCAGATATATTCCACTGACTGACAAATCCAAGATCATTTCTAAAATATCTTCATGTATCTTTTAATACATTAATTCAGTTTCTACAGATGTTCCAATCTCTTCAAATTATCATTATTTTTCCTTTACATGTATATTATGTACAGCATATAGAATCAAAATATTCAAGTGACCTCTTTTGGGAATTCCAAAATACTGTATTCTAATTATTAAATCTGAGTTCAATTGGGTAGATTAGCAATCAAAATCCAAAAGTACAAAATAAAGTATAGCATTAGGTTAAATGAAATAAAAATAGAAGGTAATAACACAAAATGCAAACAGAAGTAAGAGGCTTTTTATTGATAATCAGTCTTATAGAAAGGTTTGAATAGTGTTAAAATCTCTTATTACTTTAATCTGCCTGGGAATATGAATTCCAGTGTATGGGAATTATTTGAGAAACAATGCCATAGACACATTTGAGGAACAGAAAAAGTTCATGAATTACTCACATGCAAGTTCCAAGGTAAGCTAGAGAGAAGAATAAAACCAATTTCTATGTTGTGGTCATTTCCATACGATTTTGAGCAAATGCCCACATCAAAAGGATAACATCAAAACCTGAAAGTCATATATAGGGCACTAGAAGAATTGTGGAGTGAAATCAAAGTAGTTGTTAAAGTTGAACATGAAAAGAGACAACCAAAGACCAAGAAACAGAAGAAGCAAACTGGATGTTAGATCAAACAGTGGAAATTGCCAATAAGAGAAAAACCAATCCAAGAAAGACAAAAGTCTCAGGAAGGAACTTGTTTAAGGAATTTGAGAGAGCTGTTTGAAGAGACAAAGAGCAGTATTGCTAAATATTGATATAGAGAGGAAGAAACACGGAAAGTCTTCCAAAAGCTTTCTAAGCTTACAAGGAAATTCCAGCTTTCAAAAGGATGAAATGTTAAAGGATGCCAGTAGGCAGATGGAAACTGATTCCGAGAAGATCAAACAAAAATAGAGGGAATATAATAAACTTCAATACAGTAGAGAGGCTTGTATCCAAGATATCTTAGAAGACATTCCACATTCACAAGAAATTGAGTAAAGGTTCTGACCAAACAATGTCAGTAAATCTGAAAAATGCTATAGTAACCAATAGTTGAAGAGGTTGCCTGTATACCAATGCCAGAAAGAGAGAGGGAGGGAGGGAGGGAGGGAAGGAGGGAGAGAGAGAGAGAGAGAGAGAGAGAGAGAGAGAGAGAGAGAATTAACAGACTGTGGAAACTATTACACAAATCCTTAATTTTTCACATGCCAGGAAGCTAATGCTTAGGATCATCCAATGCAAATTACAACTCTCCATGCAAACAGTGGTGCCAGATGTTCAAATTGGTTTTATAAAAGGCAAACTAATAAGAAAAAGTATAGCTGAATAACAGAAAATAAAGAAAACCAAAAATAAATCAGTATACGCTATATGAAAACAAAACTTATAATTTGAAGAAACAAAGAATGGAAAGAATATTGATATTTTTGTATTTTATTACTGGAGACAATTCTTGAAACAACCACAGCTGACAAACCACAGAAGACAAACAAACATGAATCCAATA